AGAATTCAGACTAATGAAAGTGTATCCAAGGATTTTCAATTGAAATACATCTCCATACTGTTAACTTCATTCATGCAACTGAATATGAAATTTTGCATATCTTATTTGAAATATTATTCCAAATATGAATTTCCGTTCGGTTCTGGTTGGCTATTTCTTCTCATATCACTTCTACGAGAAAAATAAATTACGATTATCAAAATTGAAAGAATTCGATCATTTTGAACACTGTAGATCTTGTTTATGTGTTATTCACCTTGAATTTGTGTTAAATAAAGTTAAGATGTATGTAAGATGTGGAAGGACGAACGGTGACCTATATGTCATTTGATCTCTGATGGAGAGTTTTCGCATAGGCAATCATACCACATCTTCTTATTTTTATAGAATAGATATTACGAGACAAATATCCACAAGAGATCAAACGACGTAGATGCAAGCAAATATAGGTAATCATAAAGCTTTCAAATTAAGCAAAACCCATACTACATAGTAAGGCACCAAGGGACCTGGCATGACAAAATGAGAAACAATTCAAACGGGTAAACCAACACCCTGATTCATGATTTATGAGTCTATTGTATTGCATGCGATTAACGAGCGTCGTTGATTCATTAAGATACTTTTTCCCTAGTGTGTCTCTCTATCTTTTGCCAAAATCAAGGAATCCCATTCTTTGTTAAGGTTGAACAATAGTTGTATTTCAAAATACTGATGAGATACAGCATTGTGGATACTAAAGAAATCAACGGATATTTTAGAGTACTTACAATCTAAGTCTCTCTCCTCTTGCAAACGTACATACACATTAAACTTCTCTACCCATATTCGCCATCAAAAACATAAAAACAGATTGACCAAATGCGTCCTTCTTTGTTTTATTAATACGAATGACCAACGCAGATACAAATATCCTGCTTTTGAAATGGATAAATCAAACTTTATCAAAAGGTCATGTTTCCTCTGACTGTTAATGAATTCTTTTACTAAATCAATATTGGATAATGGATGTATACCGATTGATATTTTAGTCTTAGATACATGATTTTTTTTATTAGTTGTTTTTGGCTTTGAACTAGCTGTCTGTAACTGCGAGTACTCGCAGATCTGTACTTCGTGTCTTTTTGTTTTGGGGATGTATGAATACCCTGCCACGACCGGTTAGTATTTTTGTTACTTGTTTTTCTGCTTTGTATCGATCTGATGATCAAAGCCCTTTTCAACAGATTTTAATATTTTGTGTATTTGTTGTGCTGTTACACCACTGTCCCAGGTTAGGGGAGAGTTGGGCGCCCGCAGACATGTTTAACCCCGCCACATTCTGTATTTGCCTGATCCAAGTCTGGAGCCTTTAATTCAGTGGTTGTCGTTTGTTACTGTATACTAGTAACATATTTTTTTCGTTCATTGTTCCGATATAAAACAAACCATTAGTTTTCACGTTTGACTTTGTTTTACATTTGTCATTCCGGGGACTTTTATAGCTGACTATGCGGTGTGGGTTTTGCTCATTGTTGAAGGCCGTATGGTGACCTATATTTGTTAACTTCTATGTCATTTGGTCTCTGGTGGAGTGTTGTCTCATTGGCAATTATACCATATCTTCATATATTTCATATTTGAATGTGAAAACCACATTGATTCAAACAAAAAATTCTTTAAGACTGACAAAAATATCAAGTTGTTATCTACATTGACAACATATTTCTTACGTTTAGAGTACGTGTTGTTCAACAATCAACCGGCATTCTCACGAGAACAAAATACGCTTCTCTTTTTAACGACTTAATTCTATATGTATATATGAAGAAGACTTCTGAAAAAATATAAAGAAACTAGCATCATTCCTTAACTTGAAACTAATAACTCATACTGAGAAAAGCAAGGAAAAACTTGTTCATGACATTCAATTTTCACAAATTTTGACACAATGAATTAATTCAGGATGTGTTCTCGATGAAAATAAAGTTTTGTAAAGATCCAAGCACTAAGTATTTTAGCAGCCATTTTGTGAATGGTGCGCAACCAATAACTTTTACAGAGGGAATAGATTTGGAATATCAAATAAAACCTACATTATAAAAGATAAGGAGATGTGGCATGATTGCCAATGAGACAACTATCCACCAAAGTTTTAAAAAAGTGGATGTAAGCAATTATAGGCAGCCGTACGGCCTTCAACCATGAGAAAAACCCATACCGTATAGTCGGCTATAAAAGGCCGCGACATGAAAAATATGAAACAATTCAATTGAGAAGACTAACGGCCTAATTTATAACAAAACTATTTACCAAAAACAAATATGACAGACATGAACCAACGACAACCACTGAACTACAGGCTCCTGACTTGGAACAGGCACATAAAGAATGTGGCGGGGTTAAACATGTGAGCGCTCAACCATCCCCTAACCGGGGACATCGATTTCAATATAAATCATAGGAAAATCAGATGTTTCTAAAAATATGCAAATTATTTACAAAACGTAATTGTACTTTTTAAATGTACCACAATTCGGACATCAGGACTCAATTTGGAATGCAATATATCCTATATATCTATGTTTGTTTAAATCTAAGCACAAAGAGATGTTTTTCAAAATTTATGATTATATATATATTTTTACAAAATTAAGTTTTATGGCCAATTTTCTCAAAATATTACCACAAATATTATTTTTTTACTTTGGGAATCAATATTTATTATAAAAAAAGGAGGCGGAGGATACCAAGGGGGCATTGAAAATTCGTAGGTCGAGATAAATTGACAAAGCCATGGCAAAAAAAAAAAAAAAAAGACGAAAAGCCAAACAAGTTCACAAAACACTACACAGAATACTCAGAACTGAACAACATGACCACCGCCAAAAACTAGAGGGTGATCTCAGAGACTCCAGAATGATTAGCAGATAATTTTCCGCCTAGTGGCACCCGTCATGTTGCTCATGATAGTACACATTCGCTGATGAGTATCATTCGGTGATGTCACGATCGAGGAAAAAAGGACGGGATTGTGTCAACGACATTTAGAACATATCCATGGTCAGCTGTGACGCATATATCCTACAACAATCAACCAACTCGTCGTGGCGTCCGTAAATCTTTCAAATGGATGTTTGTCAATTGTATACAAGGTATCGTTGAAATCCTATATAGCACAGAAAATTGTTTCTCAAAATTTGAGAACCTTTAACAAAGCTATATGTATGTACAAATGAGAGGTTTAGCTAGCTATAAAACCAGGTTTAATCCACTATTTTCTACATAAGGAAATGCCTGTACCAAGTCAGGAATATGACAGTTGTTTTCCATTCGTTTGATGTGTTTGAGCTTTTGATTTTGCATTTGAATTTTCCTTGGAGTTTGGTATTTTTGTTATTTTACTTTTTACAGCAAAACCTATTCCCCAATTTAAAGAAAATCCATTTGTGAGAATGGGAATTAATTTGTAATAGCATATTATAGGTTTGATTATATTTGTGTTAAAATTCTAACACAAAGAGATGTTTCTCAAAATCTGCGTTTACTGCAATCATTGTCCACAAATTATCCCCAAAAAACTTCTTTCTAAATTGGGAATCAATACCGAAAACTTATAATGGCAGATATTACTTTTTGTTGAACATTTAGCACAATAATACATTTCAAAGTAATTGAGATTTTTTCAAAAAAGTTATTTACCACAATGATAAAAAAAACAAAAGGAGGGACCTTTCTTTTATACGTTTATAAAATCTGGAAATCGGTTGATTTGTACGAGATAGGTCTGACGAACATATAGATAGACAGACAGAGAGACAGACAGACAGACAGACAGACCAACAAACTGCTTACTATAGAGCGCCGCAGAAATGTCAGTCGCGGGCACTTATAACCTCGTTTAGGTGTGTATGGCAGACACTCACTTTGGTATTATAAGTGGAAACATGTTTATGATAAATTGATATTATTTTTATTCAATAAAATTAGGTTGTAGTTTCCATTTCACTCCATGATTACTAACTTGAGGATGCCTGTAAAAGAGAACATGCTTTATAATAAATATTACCCTTTTCCCATAAAAACATATTATTCAAAAGTTTTATCAAGAAAATGTTTTGAAGTAAACAATGCAATGACAACCATACAAAAGTTCAATCCATGAAGTTTTCTAAATTTTGCATTTATAAATGCATGATCTATAAGCAAATCAACAAAACAAAACAAAAAAAGTGCTAAATCAATGAATATTAAATAAGAAGATACAATTATGTACATTCCTCGTTTTTTAGGTTAGATATTAGATTAACAAAATATGTCATGATTGGGCAAACATTAAACAGTAAAAGTAGTCGGAAAGTAGACCAAGTCATACAAGGAATATCATTTTAACAGGTCGGTCTTGTACATGTTGTATGTTGATAACCGTCTATAAATTATCGAGTCTCAATGTCGTGTTTCAAATTTTCATAAAAAACAAAACAAAATTAGGACATCATCCTTTTGACTCCGGTATTCTGTACTTTGGTACTGGCATGAACTACGGGTATTGTTGTATTCAAGTTTTGTGTTACAGAATGTTGAAATTATTTTATATTAAGGAATCCCTCAAACATAGCTCTGATTTCTCATCCGGGTTTATATTTTAACTTTGGTCCTTTGTAGTTTTATTAGTTTAATCAGCTCTTTGGGGTATTTAAAAAAACCACTTCAAAGATGCAAGACAAAATATTTTGTACACGAAACAAAACAGCCGGAAGACAAAATCCTTTAGGAAGTTGAAGAGTATTGAAAACCAATAAAGAGGGGACAGGTACCGAAAGGAGGCAGAAAATTCAGAAACTATTGCGTGCATTCATATTTGAGATTTTTGAAGAATGGACAAACATGCGAGATTAATTATAACATTACAAATTCTAAAAGATTACCAACTTTACTTGGGTGCCGAAAACTTATAAATTTGAATGAATTTAAAGTTTTCTCAACAGTAAATGTACCAAAAATGACATATTAATAATAGTTTATGTCAGTACTCCTGTGGTAACCTCAGGGACGAAACGTTCACCAGCAACAGCAAAGACCCACTGGTTATACTAATTGATTATCTTGTTGGTTATCAAATAGTTTGGCCTATAGCTGAGAACACAATAATTGTCGAAATGTGTAAATGCGCATATGTTCTGTACAATAAATAGCTTTATTTGATTTACTTATCATGACTTTTATGAAAATAAGGTGTTATCGAAAATTTGTATTAAAAAAAAAAGATAAAATTTTGAAAGAAAATAAAATAAAGACAAATCATTAAAAAGGACAAAAGAAAACAACACCAACTTAAACCAAAACGTGAATGAACTTGACGAGTGAGCTGTTTATATTAAAACTTTGCAACTTCGGAGTTATTAAGATAACAAAATCAAATGAAGTGTTATAGTAACTCCAATGAAGAAATAAAGACCAGATCAAAACTATCGACTGGGATATACGATGTACATCTGTCTATCATCTAGTTAAACTAAAGATATCATGTCAGGACTAAGAAAATCTTAGATCATTGTATTATATTTTTTTAATTTAAAACTTACAATTGGAAATTCGCAAATATATGCCTCTAATTCTTCACCACACTTATCAGAATCCCATCCAAAATAGGCCGTCCCGTTATCATAAAAGTTAAATTCCAATTCCAAGCAGCCACTTGTGGCTTCCAGGCCCAAATTTCCATCTTCTGGAGAAAAAAAAAAACAATATCAGAATAAAATGTTGAAAACAATCCTTTCTCATATTGTGACAGGTCACATTGGTGATCTACTTATTCGAAACACATGAAGTTTTTACAATAACATGTCAAGTATTTTATCAGGGATAGTGCAAACAAGTATTTAGTTATAATACAGTGAAAGGAAGGCCATGTCAAGAGTACTAGAGAAGATAGGTGAGGGGAAGGTTAAGTGTTAACAAACATGTGTAACTCCGCCCCATTCTTTATGTGCATGTCCAAAGTCAGGAACCTATAAATAATGGGTTGTTGTTAGTTGCTGTCCACTATATTTGTTTTTCATTTATTGTTTTCAACATAAACAAGGCAGTTTGTTTTTTCTTTTGGCTTGTTTCACATTTTGACATGCCACTGCTTTGTATAGCTTACTATACGGTACGAGTTTTGCTCATTATTGAATTTCGTAAGTTGACCAGTAGTTGATTTCATGCTCGTGCTTTGGTCTCTGATCCGTAGGCGTCTAATTTGCAATCACTATCTTCTTATATTGAAACCAAGTAAGGAAGGACGATGTGTAGAAAGCTGTCAAGGTGGCAACCACTATCTCCTTATCTTGAAACTAAGTAAGGAAGGACAATGTGTAGAACGCTGTCAAGGTGGTAAGTCATTTGAAGTAATCGAAAAGATAAACTGTAAGTAACTTTAGATTGAAGGGAAGAAAATAATAGCAGGAATTCATGTCATAGGATAGATAGACTGAAGTAAGTGTAGACATCAAGTCCGGGATTATAATGTGTAATAATTTATGTCAACATCATTTTCCATATAAACTAACCGCATAGACTTGAAGTTGTAAATTTACATTCCATATGAATTAATAACTTAAGTATACACCTGACGCTTAGGAAAGATAGTATGTAGAAAGCCATGACCAGAGAACATTTCATAGAAAGTAGTCGGATAGACCTAAAGAAAGGAACGAAAGTGATAAGAAAGATATGTCGAGAGAACTTTTCATTTAAAGTAATCGAATACATAAATATGAAATAAGGCAATACGATGCAGTTAAACATTAATTAAATTTATGTTCTAGCCTTTGTTTTGTTACTATATAAAAGAATATAAAATACACATAGATATTTAAATGCAGATTTTTTAAGAACCCATTCAACAATTGTCCATCTTCTTATGGTAATATTTTATATGTTAGATTTTACCTTAATTATTTTTTTTTTCAGCATTACCATGATTACTATTTGTAAATAACGTTTGAGTAGATTCCCTTTGTCTACATTTTCTTAATTTTGCCATTGTCTATAATAACCACTCAACTTGAAGTTAATAACTAACAGTTATAATACATACAAGTAGGGGTGATTTTATGTTAATCTTTTTTTTTAATCATTATTTCCATTAAATTTATGTATAGAAAGCGAGAATTTTCAGTGAGTTTCCACGAATTTCTGTAAATCTTCTTTCAGATATTTGATCATCGAAAACATTGAATCTGACGATGACAATATTTGAGAAGGATCATTTGGCCGTTTCAGAATCTAAAGGGCTATGGGAAGTTTAAATGTTCATACCCAAAATTAAAAATAACGTCACGTCATTGGTTGAATGTCTATTATTTACGACGTTTATAACCAATCACTTTTGAGAATAGTACCCAGAATACATCAGACTCTGAAACGGCGAGGAATCAAAATTCAAATGGTTTAATCAGCAAAGTATATTTAGAAACAAATATGTCAGAATATTATCTAACAACCAGTAAATATCAATATCATTTTATATACCATGAAATTTATTGTTCCACTCAATACTGTTTGCACTCAAAGTGAGGCTATTTTAATAGAATACTTGTACATTACTTTTATTTAAATGGTAAACTATACATACGTATTCCAAATGCAAGGTTGTCCCAATCAAATGGGTCGTTTGTTACTGCAAAAACGTATGTATTATTATCAGCTAGATTGTTTGCACCGGTATATACGTCAAAGTCAGCTTCAACTACAAGAGCAAATCAAACTGGCAACATTTAATAATTTATAAAAAGACGAATCTGCATATGCATAACAAAATCAGATTTGAATCAAGTATTTTGCATTCTCTTTGAATCACTTACTTTATTACAAAATCTGTATTGCAGCATATTTGTTAATAAAAAGCAGGCACTGAAACTGAATTTGAATATTGAGAACACAGATTTGTCCCCGTTTCTGACTCATACTGTTTTGAAAACCACATTCAATTAACATGGAATATTACACATTGAATATATTAGATGGAAAATACAAATAATTTAAAAACAGCATATCAACCTCTAGATTTTCGTTTCTTTTTCTTTTTCTTTTTTTTTTTGGTTGGGCTGTTTTTTTTTTTCGGATGTTGCTGTCACATAAACATAAACCGTTTAAATACGTTTTTGGTTCATGCTTAAAATGACGAATATTATTAACCAAAAAAACTACGCAAACTGAAATTCGTAGTAAAATGTATTTTGTAATAAATCTGTTTTAACGCTTCATTTATGGTTGATTGAAATGATATATTTTGATTCAAAAGAATAAGGTGTAATGATGTCTGTAATTGACAGTCCAACATTGACAGAATGATAAGGTCATTTTGTCTCTGGATTCGAAAAATATAGTAGTAATCAATCAATTATCATCCTTGAGTTGTTCACAAGACAGAAGCCTCTCAGATATTAGTATTTATATTTTGGATTTTTTTCTTACATTATTGCTGGAGGGCAGTTGCTTTATTTTATTTATTTCATCACATATTCCATTCAGGGCTAGAAAATTCAAAAACTGCAAAAACTGAGGACATTTACAAAACCCCTTCTTGAATTTAAGTTTAGTGCTTTTCCAAAAACTACCAATTTAGCCTAACTCGACTGTCCGTTTGTCACACTTCAGTTTTTCCATTTTTTATGTAATGCATTTTGGTCTTTAATCATGCCATTAGAAGCTACGGATAATGTTCGAGTTATGTTTCAGTTTAGCTCCTTTGCAGAAGTTGGGACCTTTGGTTATAGATAATTGTTTGGAAATTACTGCTTCTTGCATTTTTTTTATGAGTAATCATTTGATTAGGTATTTGGTACATGATCATTTCATTCAAAATGCACATTCAGTTTGAGTTTCATTCTTCTCAAGCTTGTTGCGAATGCAGATAACTGTTTAGTCATTTCATTTTTCCGTTATGTTTTATGAATTTGGTCTTCTTTTTTGTATCTTGAGGATCCTATAACATTCTTATTTGACAAAAAACGCACGTGAAATAAAAATTTAAAAAGATTTACTTATGTTGAATTTGACTCTAACTGCTTCGGCCTCTTCCAATGTTTCTGGAATCCACAGGTAGGCACCAGGAGTATTAAGGCATCTCGCCTGCAAATATGAGATCAGTACATTTACAACCAAAAGGGTACATATATTTCCCTTCAGAGATACTTTACCTTTTAAAAGATTATTTTATTAAATTAAGGTAACAGTAGTTTACTGATGTTCAAATCTCCTAAATTTATTAAAAAGAGACAAATCAAGGTAACAAACACAAATTGGTGGGATTGCATGAACTCCAAAAGGAGCAATTCCAGGTGCGGGTATCAGCATGTATCGAATGTTGCAACCATTATTACTTAACAACGACAAAAGGACCAAAACGATCAATTACACAAAAAAAAAACAGAAGGTAAAATTGCTATATATCTATTGTCTAATACATGTAATACATTTATGATTCAGTTAAAGACTCCTAATGTCTTCAAACATGACTGCATTTTTACCAAAAATAAAATGTTGAAAAAAAGGAAATTAAAATAAAACAGAGATAAATAACGTAAAAAATTATTTGCTACTAAAACATATAGGAAAAATAAGGTTATTATCCTCCTTCTTTTGGCCTTCACATTTCATTACCTTTGCTCTCGTGGTAATCTATTGAAAATTGTTGGATCGTGTTAAACACAAACTCTATTGATAAACAGAGCTTCCTGGATGTAATTTAAAATTATTTTCAGTCAGAATTATGCTACCCAATAATGAATCTTGTGAAACATATTTCTTACTTTGTCAAGGTAATGCGTAGGCGCGATGGGATTTACTGGCAATTCGCGGATCGGAGCATTTCGCTTCCATCGCTATAAATATGTTAGCTATAGGATACTATTTACACCTTTTTTAATATACTTTCTCATTGCAGATGCGAAACAAATGACATTTAAAGTTGTTTAATCTAAGTTTATGAAACCAAAATGAGAAATATGTTTAATTTGACAAACTAACAAGAGCAACATGCCAGCTTGTAAACTCCAGCATACTATTCCCTCCGAAAAGGTAACAATTTGGGCTTATAGTTTGATCACACAGTTTTGTGTATCCCTCTGGACATGTCGTTGGAAGAGATTTGCAGGGAGCTGTAAACAGAATAAAAGAACCATTTATTTCCTTTAATACATTTGCTGATCATCATTTTCACAAACAGTGTATTGAAGGTGAATGGTCATATAGTTAGATTTTTCTTTTTTTTGTGAAATGGGATACACTTTAATAATAATGTGTTAGAACCATTAACAAGGAGAACTCACATCTTTGCATTATTTCATTAATTGGTGTTCTGAACAGTCATATATATTATACATAAGGTATGATTATTCACTTCAAAGTTCTAAAAGAAACTAAACAGCAACTAATTATTTAACCTTCCTGCTGGTAGATTTTCCCTTATTGTTATCTATTAATATTTGCCGTTAATTGCTACTTTCCATAATGTAATGGTATGATACCGAATTCAGATTGGACGGCAGAGAGTTTTGGTCTATCCTTATCAGGTTGGTTTAAAAACAAAATATTATATTCTAACCAAGTTATTTCAGATGCTGAATCTTCATTACCCAAATATATAACAAATCTAATATTTAATAACATTATTTGATGCTTACCTTCACACGGATTAGGCGAGTTACCTTTGCTTTTGTATTTGTCATGGTTGTGTTTTTTACCACCAAGTTCATAGCGGCCCTTGTTCCTCGATTTGTAGTGACCCTTGGCCCTGCCTTTGTAGTGAGCCCTGCCAAGGTATTTTCCTATTATGAATTTAAGATAGAACAAATAACCTATTGAGATTCAAAGTGATTTATGCTTTACAATTGCATGTCTGTCTAAAATTCGAATTTCAGTAAATCATTATGCAAAATAAGACCCTTATCGCACTTTATACTTTATCTGATGTTTAACAAGATGTTGATCTTAGAAAAAAAAATACAAATATCTTATTTAAAAAAAACCATCTTATATATGTTGATATGCAATATAAATTATAATTGCAAATTTTGTGTGTTCCTCTCTTTTATCCCTAGTCGAAGGTAGTGACAGTCATACTAATAGAGATTTACAATAAGTGTCTGACTCCGACCCGAGTCCGAATACGAGTCAGAGTAAGACAGTTTAAATGATTGGGGCGATCTCAAAATAATAAAGTTATTGTAAACATTGTACTTTAATCATTATAGTGGTAATTGAAAAAGTTGTTTTCGGCGATTGACAAAACAATGGTTACAGCCAACTTTAATTATGGTTTTAAGAGTGTGACGAAGAAGCCTTCAACGGGTTCCAATTATTTTATAGCATTTCACTTCGCCAATAACATGTTCAACGGAGACTCGGTATTCTGCAATGAGTCTGTTGAGCCTCCTACATTTTCTCTCTTTTTTTTTGTGTTCTGGCTATCTGGTTATCTGCTGTCTGAGGTATATCGTGTATGGCCGATGAAATAATGCAACCTCTTTCTCGTGACGGGGATCAGGAGACACCCAATCCTGTATAAGCAGTAGAGGAACCTGAACTTTAAAAAATGGATAATAGGCCTGACATTGGAAATATAAGTACAGGTGATGCTACAGTTAAAGCTGAAGAAATTGCCACATATAATGCGACTCCAGAGCTGCAGATAATATTTATAATGCTCTTGTAAATTAAACTGCAAGAAAAGAAAAACTCCTAAAAAAAGAACCAAAGAATCTTTAATGCAATTGATTTGCAGTAACCATGAACGATAAAAAACATTTATTACAAAGCAGGTTCCAAAATTGTTCAAAAACTTCGGAGTTTACTTAGATTCATCTGAAAATGATTAGACTGTGTTAGTTCAATGATGTCAGATCCTGCTCCACATGTGGCACCCGTAAAACAATCATACAGAAAACTTAATGCCTATTCCAAAAATAAAATAACATTTTCTTTGCCTGTATGTACAATTCTTGCAAGATTTTTTTATAAAATTGATATCAAAGGTTATATCAAGAATTTTATATGTCTTTTGGGCATTACTGCGGAGCCCCTTAAGTGCCATGTAAATATGAATATTTTTGTTTTAATCTGGTGCGTACAAGTTTGAAAAATCGTGCGCACGACTTTAAAACTCGTGTGCACTACTTTAAAACTGGTGCGCACAACTTTGAAAAACTGGTGTTCACGACTTTAAAACTCGTGTGCACGACTTTCAAACAAAGTTTGACTGACTCTATACGAACTGGAGAACAAGTTTGAAAATCATGCGCACCGTTTTGAAAGTCGTGTGCACGAGTTTAAAAGTTGTACGCACGAGTTTGAAAGTCGTTAGCACCATTTTTGAAAGTCGTGCGCACCACTTTTAAAGTCGTACGTGCGCACCAGTTTAAAAGTTGTTGATACTCGTGCGCACGATTTTTCAAACTGGTGCGCACCAGATTTAATCTCAGGCAAACGAAAATATTTATATTTACATAGCACTGTAGGGGCTCCGTACTATTCTCCAAGATTATGCACAGTGGAAACAAATGATCCCAAATACTGAAAAATATTTTAAAAAACTGAACAATAATTATCCAATTCCCTTTTAAATAATTCGTCAGTAAAGGAACTTTCTTTAAGCTTGAAAAGGTTTATTTTAATGTAATCGGTAAAAATTATCATATACATGTAACTGAACAATAAATGTTTGTTGTGAAAGTTTTTAAACTCTGAACATATCTGTTCATATCGAGCTTAAACGAAAAAGCGCTCTTTCTGCCCTTTAGTAAAAAAAGGTCAATTTATTTGTTAAATGGTTTTGTCCTATCATCGCACAAAGATTGAACACAGTAAAATTAATTAGCGTACACATTATTTTGAGATCACCACTATAGCTTACCTGTAAGATTTGTTGTCGTACTCGTACTCGGATTCCGAGTCTGACAGTTATTGTAAATCTCTACTAGAAGATCTAATAAAACAATCGAATTGAACACTAACCTTCTGAATGTAAAAACATAATCAAGCAAAGTAATGCAGCTACAAACTGAATCTTCATTTCAATCCAAGTAATTAAATTTATTTGAACGTTGATTTCGGCAAAATTGCAATTGATACAAGAAAACGTAAATTATAGATGTAAATAGTGTATTATGAATGTTGAGTATCCAATGAAATGATGACACATTGTACTATACCAGATGCACCTTTGGAAAATTTGTTTACACAGATATATTCAAATTTAAACAAGAATATTTTTAAATCTTAAACAACATTTACAGATGTTACTTGGAATAGAATTTGTCGACAACGTGTTTTTTTTAGGAATGAGCAAACCTCATACCATATAGCAGCCATAAAAATCCACAACATGAGTGAATGGAAAATAATGCAAAAGAAAAATTAAACGGCATAATTTATGACAACACAAGAAACGATTTGTTTTTGGACAGACAGCAACAAACGCCAACCACAGAATTACAGGCTCCTGACTTGGGACAATTACCTTTAGAACGGGCGGAGTTAAACATGTTTACCTTCTCCTAACATCAGATAGTGATGAAACAGAACAACATATGGAAAATCTGTAAAACTCATTTGCAAATGTATTTAATATTGCAATTGGTTATTGAGAAAAGATTGCACTTTTAAACTTTATATGAAGACAACAAATGATACTATACATATTTGTATCTTTTAAAATATAATTCCAAATGAAGTGAAACAATGTCTGGTGTAGGTACTAGTAAGTATTTTTGTTTGCAACAGACATTGTTCATTTTATTAATGTTTCTGGTATGGGTCAATGCAACAAAACAAAATTAAAAAAACAAAGGGATGGTAGCGCCTTCATGTCAAGGGAGATAGGTTTTAACTTAAAGGTCTAAACACTTTTTGCATTTATATTTTCCGGGTTGTGATTAGACGTTAATGATTGTGTTAAGAAAGTGTTAGTTTTATGCAAATAGTAATGATTTTATTAAGAGTTAACATGTGTAACACAGGACAGGTGAAGGCAAATATTTTTTTAAAATTTAATCCATAACATGTTAAGGTCTAAACGCGTTAGTTAAGTGTTTCCATTATAAACACCATTTTAAAGTGTAGATCACTAGTTAAACTTTAACGAAAAGCCCAAGAATTCATCGTAAATTAAAAGTACCCTAAGGATTCGCGCAGATTTAGAAAACTGACCATTTTATTTTTCACTTTTGGCAATAAATCCCATATTGAAAGGGGCGTCTTTCTTATGTTAGCAGACTGCCACTCTTCCTACAAGTGAAAGGAAACGTGAAACAACTAAATGAAATATGATCATCTGCTTTTGTTAGACGCGTCTAAGGCAACAGGCCCCGACAGCATTAGTCCAAGATTTCTAAAATATGCTGCTCGCGAATTAAGCTATCCCCTAGCTCTGTTGTTCAATAAGTCATTACAATTGTGAACTTATCCATATGACTGGAAAATAGCAAATGTAAGACCAGTTTTCAAGAGTGGTTCTCAAGAAATTTTATCCAACTATAGACCTATCTTTCTGTTATCTATTATTGATAAATCGATGGAAAAATGTATTTTTAAACATTTATTTAATTTTCTTTTTAGCTATAAGATGATTACACAGTTGCAATCATATTTTATGCCTGGAGATAGTACTATTAATCAACTTATTTATATTACGATATTGCGAAAGCACTTGACTTTGGGAAGGAAATTAGAGTTGTGTTTTGTGATATCAGTAAAGCGTTCGACCGAGTCTGGCATGAAGGTCTTCTACATAAACTAGATATATATGGAATAAGAGAGGACCTCCTGAAATGGTTCAAATGTTATTTACCCAAGAGGAGACAAAACGTTGTCATAAGAGGACAGACCTTTAATATTTATAGTAATAAAGCCGGTGTCCCACAGGGCTCAATTTTAGGCCTTGTATTATTCTTATTATTTATAAATGGTATTATATGTGACATATCACGCAACATAAGACTTTTTGCTGACGATCCATCATTATATATACTTGTTGAGGACGAGTATGCTACGGCTGAAATAATTAATTCAGATATAGAACAAAATTATCTGTGGTCTCAACAATGGCTCGTTAATTTTAATCCAAGAAAACCCGAAACCATGACCATATCAAGAAAAACAGTGAAACCCCATAACCCACCAATATATATGAATAATACGCTTATACAAGAGGTTTAAAAAGATAAACATGTAGGGTTAATTTTTCAAGAAAACGGCTGTTGGGAAAGTCAAGTGAATTATATTATTGATAAAGCTACCCCGCGTTTAAATCTCATGAGAAACTTAATATTTAAGTTAACTTTTTTAGAAAAATATTGTTCATTCCGGAATTCGTATATGTGGACAAGTTGAAAGCAACAAACACTACCTGCTAGAATGTCAAAATGATTAAGAACATTAATGGTACAAGTTGCTTTGCACCAGATGTGCATTAACAAACGATTAAATAATCGGGCCTACGCATTATGTGTGTAAAAGTATAAACTTAGTTACCATAGGGATTGTAGAACATGAAAAGACAACACCATCGCAAATGAAAATAGACAAAAAGGAAATAACGACGAACAAAATACTACATACAAAAAACTAAAGACCATAAACTCGAACCTCGCCAAAATACTGTGGGAGAACCCATGTTCTCTTTTTCTACTTGTGTAACACACCCATTGTGTTGCTCATGTTTATAAGTGATATTTTTCTCATAATAGCGGATTGTTTGGTATTTTTTCTCAAACTAACACATTACCAAAGTTTCGAAATTACTTTTTCAAAATCATTCTAACATGAGAGTGATGGTCATGAAAGATAACTGGGATAAAAAATTATATTTATTTCTCGAATAATACAAAACACACGAGGTAGTTTTGAAAGTCATGTCCTCATCACAATGACTTGCCGTGCTATACGTGATTTACTTGGTATAATCTATCTCCGGATGAATTTTCGGGTAAAATGCAAAGCAACTAATTTTTTTATCTGCCGATAAGATTTTATGGTAGCGAAATAAAGAAAATAGAGAGGGTGTCTTCTATTAAAGGCAAAACTTACATGTTTCTCTAGGAATTTTACATGTAAAATACTTTATTGAAGGAAAAGTTACAGTTGAATTAAGGCAACAGCAATTTATCAGTGTTCAAAACTCATTAATTGATTTAGAAGACAAATTTAATCTAAGTTACAATTGATCATGTTGATAGTCCACAACTATTTGGTTGATGATACAACAGGAACTGAGAGCTCATCACTACTGGGTGGATGATACATTGTAGAATGATGGTCCTCCACTATTGGATGGATGATACAGTAAGGGATTGAAAGTTCACTCTTATTGGATCGACGATACAGTAGGGGATTGAAAATTCGCTCTTCTTGGATGGATGCTACAGTAGGGGATTGAAAGATCACTCTTATTGGATGAATGATACAGTGGGGGTTTGAAAGTTCACTCTTATTGGATGGATGATAAAGTAGGGGATTGAACGTTCACTCTTATGGGATGGATGCTACAGTAGGGGATTGAAAGTCCACCCTAATTGGATGGATGATACAGTGGGGGTTTGAAAGTTCACTCTTATTGGATGGATGATAAAGTAGGGGATTGAACGTTCACTCTTATGGGATGGATGCTACAGTAGGGGATTGAAAGTCCACCCTAATTGGATGGATGATACAGTAGGGGATTGAAAATTCACTCTAATTGGATGGATGATATAATAGGGGAATCAGGTCCACCAAATAATGTTAAAGTTACGTACATTGTATTCTGCCAGTTACTAATAAGTAATAAAATAACAAAAATACCGAACTCTAAGGAAAATTCAAAATGGAAAGTCCCTTAACAAATGGCAAAATCAAAAGCTCAAACACATCAAACGAATGGAAAACAACTGTCACATTCCTGACTTGGTACAGGCATTTCCTTATGTAAAAAATGGTGGATTAAACCTGGTTTTATAGCTAGCTAAACCTCTCACTTGTATGACGGTCGCGTAAAATTCCATTATATTGACAACAATGTGTGAGCAAAACAAACAGACATAATAGGTAAAAATTTAAAAAAATTGATGGTACATCTGTCATCATTGTGTTATTATCTTAATGACTATTTAAACAAACAACTATCTCAAAAAAGAAAAACAAAGAAAAAAAAATGGCATCTAGATAATAGACAAAGCCCATAAGGAAAAATGAAAGACAAGAATACAAAAAACTAGCATAGCACAATGATAACACAATGGCGGCATGTATAAATACCGAGCCAAGTCAAAAGGATATTACCAAAAATGGATAAAACTGTACAGTAAAGGTTAAAAATATACAAAGACAAATAAAAAGGAACACTATAACACGTAACTAAGATGATAAATAAAATTGAAAATGGAAATGGGGAATATATCAAAGAGACAAGAACCCGATCAAAGAGCAGATAACAGCCTAAGGCCACCAATGGGTCTTCAACGCAGCGAGAAAATCCCGCACCCGGAGGTGGTCCTCAGCTGGCCCCTAAATAAAATTGTGTACTGGTTCAGTGAAAATGGACGTCACACTAAACTCCAAAACATACAAAGGAACTAAAATTAAAAAAACATACAAGACTAACAAAGGCCAGAGGCTCCTGACTTCAGTTCCTAGAATCTATACTACAAGACCATCATGTATTATTTGTGAAGTTGACACTGATTATTTATCAACAAGGTCTTGGTATCTTCCGATGAACTTTTTTTAGAAAAAGGACGAGGCGTTCTTTGACATAACCCTGGTTCATCAACTTTCTGCTCAGACACTGGTGACGTTTTTTAAAGTCTGTGAAGCAGCTGCAAGCTCTTGAATACCGAATTTATAATTTCAAAACTAAAATCGTCTCTTTTGTCATAGATTCTGGTACTGAGATGACCGCTTATGTCAAATTCGAGGTATAAGTCTAAAACGAGACAGAGGAAACCGTGTCTGTTGATTATTTAATTTCTAGTTCTGGAGGATATATTAATGGAACCCAGTCAGAAAATAGTTAAAATGTTAATAGAAAGAACATCATCCATATATTTGAATGTGAAATTAAATTATATGGCTTCTTTGATCTTCT